AAGCATTTGATATTGCTTTATTGTGTTCTCAGACAGTGCATTTAAGTGTCATTTAATTAATCGACAAAGGTATGAGCAAAATCTAAACTAAAAATCATTATAGCCTATTATGAATTGAAATAAAATGTTCTGGGCTTAACTTAAACTTAGAAAACTTAAAACATCCAATCAAGTTTTTGGATTGTATAGCAATGGTTAAGTTTACTTGAAGAAAACAGTCTGAGTAATTGTTTCTGTTTGTAGACTGTTATGTTGAATGTTTTTATGTGTAAAATGGGACTGAATGACATTCCCTGCGTGTCAGTGTCACGACAACCAATGACTAGGTCGAGTTGCATCTAGATGCCTGGAATAGCTTTTATAGTTCTTTAACTGTCCCAAAGTAATTAAAGTAAAGTAAATCACATGTTACGTTTAACCAAGTCATATCCCCCTACTACAAACCGTGGGATCTAAAAATTGGAGACGATAACAAGCCCAGTGCGCGCGCCACGACTCCCAAACTCCCACTGCGTTATGCGGCCATTAACAATTACACTCAAACGAAACGGACATCAGTTCTTCGCACTGACTAATCCCGTTTGCTTATTTATTACTCAGATATTTCTCCTCCTTTCCTTCTGTGATGGAGCTGTGGAAACACGGCGCAGAGAAATCAAAGCCAAAGCGCGCAACAGGCGGCAGCCACGTACACCCACGTTAGGTTATCCCAATCGCACTTCGAGAAGCACCCAGAGCCTCCCACTACATCATCGCCAGCAGCACCCAGAAACGGAGAAGGGGAGGGCGATTCCTGTGTGCGCGGCGCATTGGTGTCTATTGGAATGTGTGCGTACGTGTGAGTGTGTGAGTTTTACGCTTCTTGTTAACGTTTGGTCTGAGGCGCACCTCTACTTCTCATTGGTTGGAAGGTGCGGCCATCGCGGTGCGTGTGGCAGGGGCCGGAAAAGACCAACTCGGTGCACACAGACGGGTTTGCACAACATTAAACGTGAGACCGAGGAATCCACAGTCCACCACCTACTGTTCAGCCGCCCGCGTGTCAGTTGTGCACTCTTGGAGCCTGCATATTCAATGAGATTCAACTGTTGCAATTGGCTGTGGTGCATGCCAAAACTGCCTTCCAATGTTATTTGAAGACTGATATTTTCAACAACCTCCCACGTGATTAATATGCATTGAATCATTAAGATATACATTATCCCACGTGAAATAAATATATTTTAAATGGCAATTTTCCTCCATGACATCAACACACACATTTGCATACTTTGCCTATTAAAGAAATATTTAGAAACAATGCCATGTTACTAAACTTTTTGGATGCATGCCTTAAAATATGTAGGTTTGATTTGTTTCTTTCGAATATGTTACATAAAGACAAACTTGTATATCGTAATGTGTCTTCTATTATGAATCAATTATACAGTAGTTGTGAGCAAACCATATAAAGGTATGACTCTAACTTTTGTAACTTTTGTATTTTGAATGGTGAAAACATTCAGTATTCAGTATTACCAAACCCCGATGAATATGTATGAGCATGGCGAAATACTACAACAGTATTATGTCATCGATGTCCCCTTGACCTGCCGAAAGCTCCCTGATTAAATCATATACGTTTTTCTAGCTCCCCCAGGAACAATGGAACTCTTCTGTGCGTCCAGCCGCCGGTGCAGCGTACACACAGTGCTGCCGCTCTCATCCTCTTTCCGGTGCCTTTAGCTCTGGCGTTGATATCTGCGTAGTTTGCTGTTCACAATGCTCCAGAAGCCTCAGTGGTCCCTCCCTGTACACAGCCCTCCCCTTCTCGACCGGCTCCCTCCTCCCTGCGTTTCTCTGACACAACCGAATCTCACACTTTCGCCTACTCCACAGCGCACACACTCCCGGTCCCCCTCCCGTCCCCGTGCCTCTCTTGCTGTCTCATTCACTCGCTACGCCATCCACGCACCGACTTGGGAGGGGCGGGGTTGGATATATACCTCCACGAGCAGGCCACGAGCTTCACTGAGACTGGACCCACTTGCAGTGCAAAGACCACAAGCAAGAAGACTCCGAAGCCGGGAGTAGAAGTACCAACACTTTTGGAGCTTAGAAAGACAGGCGTTATCACTGATTTTTATTCACTTTCACGGACTGTCTGCTAGTTTGGAGCTCCGAAACAAGCCAATTCGCAACGCTACGCTATATTCCTCGGGATATAGCATCTAAACCTTGTTGGTAGTAAACTCTTTGGAGTTTGGTAAGAGTCACTTATAATTTCTTTGCTTGTGAGAGTGGACTGCACTGAAACTTGGGACATTCGACCCTAAAAACTTTAAGTTTTTGGGTCGTTGGGGCTTGGACCTGCCTGGCGCAGAGCAAGACTTTCCGCCGCGAAAAGTTCTTCTTTTTGGCCAGACTTCCTCCACTGCCCGCTGTAGAAAGATCTGAAGACTTCGAGTCAAGAGTTTTTGAGTTTTTCTCAGTCGCTGCTACCCAAAGGCGGGATAGAGAGCAACTGACGACGAGACTTCAAAAATACTTAGCAAGGTAAGAGCAAGTTACTATTACTACTTATTGCGTGATTTTCTCTGCACTGGTATTCGTTTTGTCTGATGTTTGATGCGGAGTTTGCCTTGTCGCTGTCCATGGTGCTGAAACTTTTTTTGAAACTGCACTCCACTTGTTTGCGCACTGTTTGCTTCGTGGTTTCTTTACGCAGCTCTTGTACTTGCTGTGTTTCACTCCTGTTTGAGTCTCCGATGTGAAGTGTACTGCTTCAGGCAACGAGTCTGAACAACGCAAACTTCTAACAACGCAACAGGTTACAACTGACGGAGAAAGGTTTGCACTTGCAGAACTATCACCTCAGACTGTATCTTTCAAACACATATACTATATGAAACACAACTATTTTATTCAGACATGCAAACAAGGATTCAAAAAAGTTGTTTACTCATTACACAGGATCAAATATCTGAGAAGTTGTTTAAACCAATTTATTTTACATCATACTATATATATATGTTAGTTGTCTTGTAACATACACACAAAGCCACATGTCTATAGTCAGTGTCCTATAACATTTTCCATAAATCTCAAGTCAGTTATTTAAGGACAACCCAAGTTCACTTAATTTCTGAATTACAATAGTGACAAAAGTCAATATAAGTTGCACAATTATAATTCATACCTATAGCTTCCTTACTAGACTTTATGCTTACTAGACTTTACTTGTCTAAGTCTTAAGTCACCTGCATGTAGTCATCAGCATATCTGAATGTTTGCTGTGTCCACTATAAATGCTGTTTTTTGCTGTCTCATGCATTTAAGAACAACAAAGCTGCAAACAAAGTGGTCTGGGTTTTGCTGCACGTGTGCTATTGTCAGCCTTTGGGGCACAGAATACTGTCAGCAATTGTAGGATGAGAAATGAGCTGCAATAATTTTACTCAAGTTTGCAAAAGAAGAGACAGCTGTGAGGAGAACAGAGTAATCAGAAGTCCATTTTCAGTACAAAGTCATGCACTTCGACCTCCCACTGTAACATTTATTTCTTATCTTGTGATTGATATCTTACCTTTCATTACTTATAACAGAATAGATAGTTGTCATTGCTTTATTTGTACCAGGGCACACTGGGCTTGCATACACCAGCATAAACAGGGAGCATGACGCCAATAGTTATTTTGCAGATACAAACTGTTTTTCACACTAGCAAAAATAAGCCTGTCTCCATAACAACGAACCGGCTGGTCTTTGAATTTGAGGACAAAATCAGTTGATGACGGTGTGAACAAATAGGAGAGAATGAGGAGGTGAAGGTCACAGAGTGAGGGAGAAGAGTGGAGAGAGAAAAGTAGACTTAACAACAGCTGGACTCAGTTCACTTGTGTGCCTCATCAAATGCCCATTCATGGAGCTTCCGGTCGTAGAGGGGAGGGGGAGCGAGGGTCTGAGCGGTGGCTCTCAGGATGGGAGGGGCAGAGAGACAGACAACAGGGCAGGGAGGGGGCATGTGAAAGAGATGTGGTAATTATGAATTCTCTGCCTGAAATGTGCAGGTGCTTCACCAACTGTGAGTCTCTCTATAGGCAGAGCTCAGCAGACCCGCACTGCCCCTGTCTCTCCTGCTCCTTCCGGTACACACTGCTCCGGTGTCCTTGGTTTCTCTGTTGCAGATGAAGCAAATGTGTGACAAGACCACACCAAATAATAGCTTTTTTAAAAAAAACCTTCCTATTCGTATGCACTTTTGCACGGTAGAGCTTGTAAGGTGGTGAATTAGGGAGGGTTTTATGAACAATGCATAAGTCCATTGTGCAAATAGGATAATACAGGCTCACAGGCAAAATGCATGCAGGTTCTGCAGAGTCCTCTGCCCGAAGCACAGTGGAATGCACTGCAGACTCTTGTCATAGCACTCGTCCATCACCACAGCAGGATGTGCAATAACACTTAAAGTTTATTTGGGAGTGGGTGCTTTTTACAAATAGCAGAAATAACAGGCGTCTGTGGTTGCCCATGGCGATGGTGGCACGGACGTCAGATTGACGCACATGAACGTGTTTCAGTGCCGCGTGTGGGAGGAAAGAGCAGAGCGCTGAGATACCAGCCTACTGTGAAGGACTGTAATTGCAGAGTGAGTGCAATTATGTCCCTAAGACTGGGCATTTTAGATCAGTGAGCCCACCCCGAACGCTCTGATACTGATCACATGCAAATCCCATATGCATAAAACCTTCACACAATAGAGCCAATTAAAATGCACCAAATTAATAACACAGAGATATGTGGAGCCTTGTCACTGAACATTTGTCTCACATGAATCATCTTCTCTTCTGTTTGTTCCTGTTTCTCTGCAGCTCAAAGATGACAGTGTGTCTAATTTAAACAATTGGCATCTGAAGAGAGCTTGTGAAGAGTCAAAAGATCTCAAAGGAGTGCAGTAACTTGCAACAAAGAAGTTAAACCTGCTTTTACGAAGTTTGAAAGCATCTCTCAAAGCCGACCCAATGGAGCGGTCAGCTGTTTTCGGCCTCTCTCTGGCCCTCGCCCTGGTTCTCTTCGGTTCGACCTCTTGCACTCCCTCTGGCCCTGCCTCTCCCACCTGTGCTACACTGGAACAGAGCAGGTTCTTTGGGGTTTTCTCCTCCACCACGACTCTCCCCACGGCTCCCTGCTCCTGGACCCTGCAGAACCCAGACCCTCGCCGCTACAACGTCTACATGAAGATCACCAAACCAACAGTCACCTGCGTCCCCCGCCAAATCCGCACCTTTCAGTTTGATTCCTTCATTGAGACCTCCCGTACCTACCTGGGCATGGAGAGCTTTGATGAGGTCGTCAGGCTGTGCGACGCTTCTACCACTGTCACCTACCTTGAAGCCAGCAAGCAGTTCCTCCAAATGCGCAAAGTGGCACCAACCAACGCCCTGGAAGTTGTGGAGGATGTGAGCGAGTTCAAAGCCGAATTCCTGGTGGTTGGAAAGAGGAACCCAAGCATGCCTGCGTGCCAGATGCTGTGCCAGTGGTTAGAGAAGTGTCTTAACAGCAGCACCCATGACTACCCCTGTGGCATCATGAACACCCCTTGCCAATGCTGGGAGACCCCCAAGAGGAAGCCCGGAAGCTGCTACAGAGGAGGGGTCCTGGTTGAGAAGTGCCTACCTGCTCCCAAAGACAATGGGCGTGATGCTGAGATTATCAGTAAGTAACTTTTTTTTATGTTTAGCAAGCAGCACACAAGTTCTGAATTGTTTGCTCTGCTCTTTTGTGTAAAAACTGCTAGAATAGACATACAGAAAGGGTCTTGTTTAGATAAAGGAAACCTCAATTTGTCCCTGCACATGTCTTGGGGGTTAATGCGCCATGCTTACAAAGCCAAAAATCCAAGCGGAATAGGCTGTGCATGCTGTTCACAAAAACTAAGACGAACCAAATTTAAGGTATTAAAGCAATCTCGCAGTGCACCTTGAGGCTTAAGTGGTAAAGCTGCCCACAGGCACATTCTCATTTGCCAGGCATCCATTTTGTCAGGTCTGAGCTGGGCAAAGAGGGTCTGCCTGCTCAATTTAAGAAGAGAGAGAGAGGCATGTGTGTGTGCCGACTAAAGAGCACAAAGACTTCACAGTCAGCTGGCAATGGAAATCGAAGCACGGTGCAAGAGGTAGCCATGGAAACGCACCTGTCACCCGTTACACAATGCAGTCAAAGCTAACCTGCTGCAAAGTGCCTGAAAGTACTACACATTCTATATAGGTCAACTTGGAGAGCATTTATATGCATTGATTTTTGGGCATGTCTAACTTTTTTCTTCTTAATTTTTTTGTGTCGTGCAGAGGGTTGGGCCACTTGGGGGCGCTGGTCCGTGTGCAGCCAGGAGTGCGGCGGTGGAGTGCAGGTGCGTAGCCGTTCCTGTCAGCCAAATGAAGCCGCATGCGAAGGGACCGTGGAGGAGGGACGATCCTGCAACCCCCAACCCTGCATTGGTAAGCTCACCTGTCATTTTAGCGTAATTTTGAAGCTCTCCCCAGGTGCATGAGAATAATCTTATAATGTTACAATTTTTTTCTCTGCAGGCAAAGAGCGAAGCAAGAGCTCAGGACTGAGAGCTATCGTTGGTGCGAGAAGAGATGATGTTCAGGGACTTGTTGCAAACCCAATAGGTAAAGACAAAATCAGCAGAATAAACTTAGAGATGCAACTCTAACTAACTAACTAACTACTCCTCACACTTCACTTGTGATCTGGAGATTTTAACATGTTTTTTATTTATGTCAACAGATTCTCAAGCTGATGCCTGGACTCCCTGGAGTGCCTGCTCACAGACCTGTGGAGAGGGCTGGCAGAGTCGTACGCGTGTCTGTGCCACTTCCTCTTTCAATACCCAGTGTATTGGACCCCTCAAAGAGACCCGCCCATGCAACAACACTGCTGTCTGCCCCGGTGAGATTACAAAACTCAAAAAGTACATGATCCATAGTTTCTACAGACTTAATACCAAATTTATCAAAAAAGCATATGCAAAAGCCAGTTATTCTGACTTAGACTTACTTAGACAAACTTTATTATTCTGGAGAAGACACTGGTGTCAAATAAAGCATAATTATATAACTGAATATAAACAAGTAAAAATAAAACAGAAATAAGTAATAAAAAAAAATATATCTCAGCTATGTACAAGAGGTTGTATTAAAAACAGTGCAGGTCTTGTTCTCCTAGTATAATTCTGAAATTATTTGTGCACAGTTAACGTTGATAAATTTCATATAGCTACTACCCCATCCAGTGGACACTTTCTGAACTGCATTTGTCTGTTGCATTTCTAGTGGACGGTGCCTGGGATGAGTGGGCCCCTTGGAGTTTGTGTTCATCTACCTGTGGCCGTGGGTACCGTGACCGTGTGCGCACATGCAAACAGCCTGAGAACGGAGGAGAGCCGTGCAGGGGCCCAACCAGACAAACCAAATTCTGCAATATTGCCGTATGCCCAGGTACATATACAGAATGCAAAGGTTATTGTGTTATTTTGTTGTCCCGGAAGTTCAGAGTAGTAATTATGATCTAGTTCAAAGACATTATAGATATAGGAGAGAGCAAGTAACAGCAGTAGAATCTGACTCACCCAGAGAATAAAGAGCATTAGTCAGTGGCTTTATTATCCACAGTGGTGACTCACAGTGTTCATGGTCATTCGGTATATCAGTTATTTGCCTCCCACCTTTGTGCTAAATGGATTTTTCAAACTTCAATTTCACAGATCTCATCCTTAGAAAGAACATTACTTTCAGGCTTGTTATAACTTTTATTTTCAGAATACGGGCTTACCGTCTTTCACCCATTGTTATAATGTGATTTAGAAAAAATCCTGAGGTGAAATTTCACAAGAAAAGGCTCATTAATTGAGAACAGAAAAGGTCAAAAAGCAGAACTACAAGTCTAACTATCAACCTCCTAAATATTTAAATCTTCATGGATTAAATTCAAGAGGGAAAACTTAGGGCATATTAAATATTTCTCTCATCAGTAAGACTGCCTTTGAAGTCTGCATCTTGTGGCTATAACTTGTCCTAACTCATTTTGGTGTTGCTTTGGCTCCCCCTAGTGGACGGACACTGGAATGAGTGGACCGCCTGGAGTACCTGCTCTGCCACTTGCTCAAATGGGACCAGACAAAGGACAAGAGAGTGCAATGGGCCTTCCTATGGGGGCTCCGAGTGCCATGGCAGCTGGAAAGAAACTGACAACTGCTTCCTTAAAGAATGCCCTGGTAAAGATACTATCCTAGTCCAAATTAAAACATATTCAAACAGTAAAAAAGGTGTTGGGTAAGTTAATATATTTTGTGTAATTTCAGTTGATGGACGCTGGCATGCATGGACCACCTGGGGCAGCTGCAGTAAGACTTGTGGTGGAGGCGTACAGCAGAGACAGCGAATTTGTGAGGGTCCCTTCTTTGGTGGAGAGCCTTGCAATGGAGACAACCGTGAACAGAAGAGGTGCAATGAGAAGAGATGCCCTGGTTAGTGTGAATCCTGATTATACAAAGCACAACAACTGATGATAATACACACTTCATGTACTAATTTGTGTATTTGTTGTTACAGAGCCCCATGAGATCTGCCCTGAGCAAAACACAGGCGATATTGTGTGGAAGAAGACCCCTGCTGGTGATATGGCTGCTATTCCTTGCCCTTCTGATGCGTCTGGTAAATACATGCAAAACAGCTTACAAATTTGACTTGTAAATTGGTAGATTGTAGCTCATTATGTTGATGTTTGTTGTTTTTTTCAGGTCTCATTCTGCGCCGGTGCACCCTGGACGCTGTCGGTCTTGCCTTCTGGGAGAATCCAACTCACATCAAGTGCATTTCCAAGAATTATGAGAACATTCAGTCCCTGGTGAGTAGCAAAAACATGAACAATTATTTGTCCATTTACGGTTGATTATGTAGTGCACTATGTAACTTTTTGGTTGAAGGTCTGTTTGTTTTTAGGGATATGTCATTGCTCTGCCTGAAATGTTCCACAGTATGACATTAAAAAGATCTACTTTACATTTATTCAATTACAGGCGGTTTTATATCTCAAAAATACCTAGAAAAACTGACATACTGGGGTTGCCTCTCCACACATCTAACCTGTAACTTGGTTTGGTTTGGTGTGCATTATGATAGAAAGGTTTAAACCATACTGTGGAACACTGCAGAAAAAGCATCTCCATAGAGAAAAGCATACAAGTTACACAATGCACCTTTAAAACACTAACATTAAAATTGAACTTGTATCGTTACAGTCCAGGGATTACAACGCCAAAGCGCAGATGGGCCAGAGCGTAGATGGAATAGCTGAGGTGATTTCACGCCTTAGATTTTCCTCGGACGAAGGAGCCAAATACAGTGGGGACCTGTTGGCTGTTATGGAAATCCTTAAAAATACCACGGAAGTGTACAAAGCAACCCGATTGAGGCTGAGCAACGCAGACGTAGAGGTATAAACAAACTTAAAATCATCGAACGAAAATAGTCATAATTACAAATCTCATTTTTTACTTACAAATGTATTTTTAATGATTGGCAGAACTTTGTCCAGACCATCAGCAACTTACTGAAGGAGGAGCACCGTGACAAATGGGAAGAGTCACAACTGGTACGTGATAAGAGGGCGTCTGTGTGAATGTGAAGGAAAAAATATCATGTACTTGAGATGGGTGAGTGAGAGGTGACAACCACAGGAGGGAGTACAGAGGGTGTGAAACTTTGAGGGGATAATTTCATCTTTGGAAGTATCCAGTTGACATTTTATTAATACTAGATAGAGGATTATTAGTGAAATTTAAATCTTTACTCATCTTACATTTCAAACAAACTAGCAAATAATGAGAATGCAGAGTGTTGTATGCAAAAGGATACGGCAAATAACTTTTACTGCTACAAGCTTTTTGTGAATTTCTATTATTATATATTTCTTAAGCAAGATATTTGGAGACACATGTACAAACATGTTATCAATTAAGGCATAATGAATATGCAAGATACAATAAAAAACAAGTATGCCTACTGCAACAAAGACAAAACTAGCCACCTGTTGCTCAGTTACCAAACAGGTACATTTCCAGGTTAAAGTATTATTTACTCATTTAGTCAGCAAGTACAATGCGAACGTAAGTACACGTCAACAGACACAGAGTATACCCACGTTTATTCAAATTTGTATAAAGGTTGAAGTACTACATCTATTGCAACAAAGTAAAAAAGCACTTCAAGGTTACACATGAGTGATTGAATCAGACCCAAAACAGTCCACCCACTGTGTAATCTGTGAGTCTGTGCTCCATCGTACATGTCAGGGGCACTAGAGAAAGGGTCCGGAGACAGCGCATGGCGTCCGAGTACACACCTTCACGCCCACATCGCTGCATCTCTGCGTCAGAACACACGCAAGCGAGACAGCCCTCCCTTTCACTGTGCGCGAGTGAGAGGAACTAATACAAAAAAAAAAAAAGCTAGTATGAATCAGCCTGTCCATTTATGGTCATAAGGAAGTTGTGCAGTTGCATAGCAGCAGAAGTAGTTTTCTATCAAGCAAGGTTTTTCTTTTCCTTTCTTTTCTTTTCACAACTTGTCGCAGTGAATGTAGGACAGATTGTAAAAAAAAAAAAAAAAAAAAAAAAAGCAACCCAGCTAATGCACATGTTGAAATCATAAAACACTGATGTATTTTGTATGTCATTTGTTACACAGATGGGGGCCAGCATCAAAGACTTCCTCCGCCTGGTCGAAGACTTTGTGAACATGATTGGTATGCAAATGAGCGGCTTCCAGGACATTTACGAAGTCACAGAAAATTTAGGTGAGTCCTCCAGCTGCCCGCCCCTGCTCCTTCATCCGAGGGAGGAGAGAGCATCAATCTCCATTTTACTTGCGAATGGGTGTCCTTATGAGCCCAGCACAGTCCATCAGTTATACAGCAATGACAGGACAAGTTCCCTCTGCCCTGCTCCAAATGATCGGCATCTGCTTGGAGTGTGTTTGGCATAGCACATAGATGCCCTTTGCACAGACTTATTAAGCTGTCACATACCGTAGAAACTGTAATTTTGACACTCTGACTCACTTGTGGTGCTGTTCTCACTGATTTAGTTGCAAGAAAAAAACTATTCTGGTCAGTTGAATGACGCAGGTGGCAAAAATGTGTCCGAAAACCTGTCAAAAAGTCCACTTGCTCACCCAACTTCCCACATTCAATCTAAGTATTTGTGACATTTTTCCACATTTTATATTTTGCAGTGATGAGCATCCACAAGCGCCCCACCAGCACAAACTCCAACTTCACTTTCCCAGTAAAAGGGTGGAGGGGCATGTTGGACTGGGTGAGGAGCTCTGAGGAGAAGATCACAGTTAGCCGCGATGCATTGTCCCTTGAGCAAGCCGGTAAGAATAATATTGATTAATGAGCAAATTCAAAGTAAAAAACATTCTAAAATTTGCTTGTAATAACTGATGTAATTTTTCTTTCTAGATGGCAATGATGCGTTTGTGACTGGCATCGTCCTCTACAAAAACCTTGCATCGATCTTGTCCTTTCAGAGGTAGTGCAATCTTTTCCATTTGCTCAAAGCTGCTATTCCTTCATTCTAACACCAGATGGCGCACTTCATTTCATTTTATATCACCTTTTGCTTGACACCAGCAAATACCGCAGCTATGCAACAAATCCATGAGCATATCTGTTTCCTAGTTTTTTGCACTAACACTGTAATCTCTCTTTTTTTTTTGCAGCAACGCCAGCTTGTTTAACTCCAAAGTTGTCACTGTAATCGTCAGCCCTACTCCCAATCTGCTCTCATCTCCTGTTGAAATCGAGTTCCCACATCTCCACAATGTAAGTGCAACAATGAATCCCAATACACCTTTTAATATTAATATCCAAATCATACAAGCCCCCTCCCTCCTCTTCTTGTTTACTCTGCACTGCCTGAGCTATCTTGACATTTCTTTGACATTTAACAGTGACTTTAAAATTGTGTGTGTGAGGTGGGGGATCACACACCAAAAGAGCTGGCATTAATTAGCTCCCTGTAAAAATTCATTTCATTTTTAGCATGCGTTATGGGGGAGTTAGGTGCAGAACGTGTTGAGCGTGTGGTTAATGGGTGACAGCTGTTAGGTCTTGCACTTATAGGGTTCAAAATGTCCCAACCTACGCATTTTCCCACCTAACCTTCCTGTTATCTTTCCTATAGGATACTATGAATGAGACGTGCCTGTCTTGGGACGAAAGTGAGACGTAAGTGTTGTTTAAGGTTATTTTATATATACATATGGCTGCCATTTATAATTTGCATTTAAATACCCATTTTAATTGAGTAAGATCAGTTAAATATAACGAGAAGACTTCAATTTGATCAAAATCCACAAATAGACTTAGACAAACTTTATAGATCTACAAGGGAAATTATTATGACACAGTAGCTCACACATCACAATATATTATTATAAAAAAGAGCAAAAGTATAAATGGTAATAATACATTCAAAATAAGCAGCAAAAATAGCAAGAGAATGGTGTCAAATAGGGCATAATTATAAAATGCCTTGTTTGAAATACAGTCTTAGAGGAGATATCAAGCTTTGTGATACCGAACTCAATTAAAATGCATATACATTGCGCAGCCTCATTTTACTGTTACTGATGTCTTTTGTGTTATCATACCCAAACATGAGCTTATAAGTGGCCCATTTATGTACCAGCAGTTCTTCAGTTTGCAGCATGCCAGTCATTCAGGCAACTAGGATAGAAATGCCAAAACACGTTGACCCAGAAGCCTCAATCAGCTGTCCAACGCCTTTTAGACCTGACATTTACATTAAAAATATGACAATTTGAATCTTCTTCAAAACAAGGTTGAATGGCACCTCCTTCCATCTTAACAAGTACATTCAACTTTACAAAAAAATCACACTACTAACAACCCAGCTTTATGGCATTCAATCTTAATGCCATGAAGATTAATAGAACTAGTATAAAGGGGATTTTACATTGATTTGGAGCAACTATATATAAGTACAGTAGCAAATGAAGGCCTGCCCTAGTACATAATGTCTGGACAATTTGCATTTACATAGATCTGAGTAGGAACAGATACAAAACAGATAAGAAAAGAAAAGCAACCACCTTTTTTGAACCACAAACCAAAGTGAATATTAAGTCAACTGGAAGAGCAATGACGAAACATAATTAACAATTTCAGATGGAAGTAAATTAGATCATTTTCGGGGAGGAAATTAGATTAATCACCGGATATGGACCATGATGAAGCAATACAGGTCATCTGGGTACAATATAATTTCTCAAGTTTCAAAGACGAAGTTGATTAGGAGAAAATTTGCAAAGTAACTTGACCTAATCAACTCAGATGATGTAACAAAGATGACAAATCCAGTAGCATGTGGTAGTAGGGAGGGAGTTTGACTGACCAGCTTCATATTTAGTCCTTATTTTAGCCACAGTGCTCTTTGGTTCTTGGACATCTGCTGCTATTGCTGCTTGCACACAATGCCAAATCGCCTATTGCAGTCACACTTGTGTCTCTTGTGTTCTTTTGTAATGTCAAATGTCATCCAAAAAAGATATGCGTTTGGGAATTGGCACACAAGATGAAACAATTTGCCCCTTTATGACTGCTACCCTGGACTTCTGTTGCCAATGATATCATGTCTAGTGGCAGAAATAGGATTTGATAACTGATTACTGGATTCAAGAATGGAAAATGACCAAATAACCACAGATGATAAAACATTGATTATCTATGAAGCTATCAAGACATCTTTTCATGAGAATGTATTTCAATTTAACTCATTTGAGGTGATTTAGTGTTGTGTAAGCAGGTGGGGGCAAACAAGTGACCATCTTGTCAAGCCATGTTTTTTCATCACTAAAATGAAAGGAAATCAATAGAGCCGTTCACACTACAGCGCTGTGTGAGATGTGAACACGCGCTCGCTTATCTCTCGCGCTCTAACCCGCTGTCTGTCTCCCTGCCTCTCCTCTCCTCCTCTCCCGCTCTCCTTCTTCCCCTGTGCAGTTCCTCTCTGCTCGGGTCTTGGTCTGCTCGAAGCTGCAGAGCGGTGCCCGTCCATTCATTCAGAACCAAATGCGTGTGTGACAGCCTCTCCACCTTCGCCATTTTAGCTCGCGTCAACTTCGATTCGGTAAGATTTCCGCACCTTTCTTATGCTTTCTGCCCACGTACACTGTGATACGTCTTGTGTGCTGCTGTTACCGTGTGTGTGAATGCAGTGGGTACATGCTAGTGTTGTTTTTCCTCCTATTGCTTTGTCTCTTGCAGGTGTCGCTCATTTAACATATCGCGCTTTTTATCGATTAGGTTGTAATGTGACTGTAAGCGATAATTACGAACAAAATACAATAAATCCGATCTTGCACCGCAATCCTCAACGCAAAACGATTCGATTACTAGCATATGAATATATTTTAATTACCAAAACGCTTATCGAAACGCATTTGCATAACTGAAAACTTGACAATTGTTTATCCAAATTACGCATGCACCATTACGCATGCCTTATACCACTGTTATTGCGGCAAATAGTTTATATTCAAATAATTTTTTATGCATTGCGGACAAGACAATGTAATTTCCCCCTGTAGACTGTTTCTCTCGATAAGATGCTGCTGGCTCTCCTGTTGCCTTGGTAACGGCTTCTGCAGCGCGAGCTCGGCCTGTGCCTCTTTGATAAGTGAGATGCTCGCGGGCAACAATCAGGGGCAGTATGCGGACCATAGGCTGCGTATCTGTGTCCAAATAGCCCCTAGGATAAAAGAAAATGGCGTACTTTGCTTTCTTCCTTTTTTATTATTTTAGCTGATAAAATCAACAGATGTTTAATACCAACCAAATGCAGTTATCTATCCACTGCAGGGACTGTAATCTTATTTACATAGCCATTATTCCTGTCCCTTTTTCCTAGTCAATGCACGCTCCTATAGTACAAAAAACATCTGCGCACATCATACTCTCTGTGTGTGCCAATATCTGTTTGAATTCTCTGTTAGATCAGCCATGCTCCCCCTTCTCTGCTCCTCTCCTCCTTTCCTTGTCTCCTTGCTCCTATGTCCTATCTCCATGTTTGCTCACAAGTCTGGAGATGGACTAATGAAACTCAATTGTCTGGTCATGCTCTGATAGTTACCCCGCTCTATTTTCCAGTCATTTTGATGTGGACGTTTTGAAAAACATATTTCTAACACAGTATAGGTGTCTGTGTTGGAGGATACAGAGAGCATTTAATAGCTTTGATTTATAGTGATTTCAAGGCCCACTGGGAACCAACCCGCTTGTCAGTACAGCAGATGCCCTTGACCAGCAATTAGTCTCACTCACATTTAGTTTAGCTCTGAAAAATTACCGCAACAGACTTCTTTTCACTCCAGTCAAGTAGCTTAGCCTGATTTTCGATTTAAAAATAACAAATTTGAGGTCAAGGGCATAAAGATGGAAGAAGACGAGCGCTATGTATTTGGGTCACAAACTAGCTGTCTAGTCCCCTCTCACTGTCCCCAATGGTACATCATGATCAACCCAGATAGAGAGTGAAAGGGAACATAGTGTTTTCGCTGGAGTTTTTTGGTTAAACTCAGAAGAGAGGAGACATCTTACAGCTTCTTTCGCCATCTGCTTTAAAGGCACACGCGATAAAACCAAGAGAGAGATACAATTTTTTCCTTTCCAACAAATTTGCCACACTAAATTAGCTTTTGGCTGCCATGGGCTTGCCTACACAGCTGTTCTATCATATCAGAAAATCCTGTGTGAAGAGAGCTCATTTTGAGGAATCGCAATAACCCACAGTATTAAAATTCTTAACCATTATCAACAACGGTGAGCACATTAGACGAAATTACTCCCATGCAGTTGCAATATAACAATTTATGGTGCTCATAAATCAAACCAAGGCCAAGGCGCATTTATTCTTTCCCCTCTAACAGTGATAATTTGATACCTCCAGATTTATTACAGTAGAGAACATTTTCACACCTTTTCCTCCCTTTTTCGCCTTTAACACCTCAAAATCCCTAATTTTAAACATAATCACACCATTTGTCAATGCATATTTCAGCTCATAGCCATGCGCTGCGATGACAGCCTTAATCAAAGGTGTTAGATTACCTTCAAATCTTATAGAAGCCATTACTGAAGATGCAGAGATGGAAATTACATTGGACTCATATAGCCATAGGTAAAGTAAAGTGAATTTTCTTGAACCAGGATTGGATGGTCAAGGATTAATAAGATACTGTTTAAAAACATGGAGACAGATGGTGATAATTGTCCACCTGTTCCTGCTGTGAAATATAAGGAAAAATATACAGCATCTCTGGTAACACATTTCAGAGAAGCCCTATTCATTACACTGTGTAACTTCTAAGGTGGAGAGCCCGTTACTTTCTTTTATTTCTTTGCCTGGAATGTTCCACAGTGCAACAATTAAACATATGTCCTGGTTTATAGCTCAAAAATACCTTAAAAACATAAATTCTTAAAATGTGTTATCATAGTAAAAGAAAATGTCTTAAATAAGCCTGAATCTTCAACATTAAATTACTACACTGTACTTGCAAATATAATTTATCATACAGAAAAAAAGATAATTTATAATCTCAATACAAATTCATCTTAAAATTAATGAAGCTTGCAACATTATTAATTTATACGCAACATAAACCATCCCTGTTAATCATTACACAACATCGTAATTTCTTTGCTTTATTGCCCAGCCCTTAACACCCAATTGAACCAAGAGCCTGAACGCCACTGGGAAATACTAGATCACGATGTCTGACAATGATTAGAAGCCTGTATAGTATAGGTCAGTTTAACCCCACATGGTAGCCCCCTTGGGGAATTAAATGTCCACCCATCCCCACTCTCTCCACATGATTCTATGGCTGCTTAAGAGATATATGTATACAGATAGTTTTCCTCGACTACTACGCCTCATTTGCTGACTCAAAAGCTCCAGTGGACAAACGCAGTGATCCTAGTAATTTGTTTAGTTTGCCTCTCCATCTTTTTTTGACATGTTCACCTTGGTGTAACCTTGCCCCGTTGTTGGCCTGGTTGTGCCATTCAAACACTGGCCTAAAGGGGGCAAACTGTCCGGTAGAGTAGGGATATGTGTGTGTGAATGCCTAGAGGCTAATGTCATGATTTTAATGCTTCTTCTGTATCTATAAACTAGCTCTAACCAGGTATTTTATTCTTTTTTTTCATCTATGCAGATCATGGATAAGTCACTACTACCCTCTGTAACGCTCATTGTTGGCTGTGGGGTCTCCTCTCTTACCCTGCTACTTCTCATCATCATCTATGTGTCCGTATGGAAGTAAGTACAGCTCTAGCCTCTCCAAAGCAAGCTGTTTTATCAACAATTTATTAAACTTTTTTCCATTTTTTCCCCAGGTATATTCGCTCTGAGAGATCTGTTATCCTTATCAACTTCTGCCTCTCCATCATCTGCTCAAACGCCCTCATTCTGGTTGGACAAACTCAGGCTCGCAACAAGGTAACGTGTCCTATCTCAAAGAACTCCCTGACTTCTCCCTTTATTTAACTTCACCACTTAACACTTATCTCTCCTATTTCCTATCTCCTTCCCTTGTGTCCTACAGGTGGTGTGCACTCTGGTAGCTGCCTTCCTCCATTTCTTCTTCCTGTCTTCTTTCTGTTGGGTGTTGACAGAAGCTTGGCAGTCGTACATGGCTGTCACTGGCCGTCTGCGCAACCGTATTATCCGCAAACGCTTCTTGTGCCTTGGCTGGGGTAAGACACATCCCCACAGATAGCTTTTTATATTCACTTTTCTATTTCTGTTTAAAAAATCTCACCAATGAATCAATGTACTTGTCAAACTGAACTCTTGTTTATTTTTTATCTCACAGGACTGCCTGCATTGGTCGTGGCTGTGTCTGTTGGCTTCACAAAGGCAAAGGGATACGGCACTGTCAATTAGTGAGTTTTCAATTAAATATTCACCACAACTTTGTAATAATTACACTTTAGTTAGACTTAATAGCATGAACAAAGAATTTATTCATTATAAACAAATATTTTAAGAGTGACTCAGGCTTAGTAACCACTATATTAAGGGCAGTGTTGAGAAGTAACTGAATAGGTACCAAGAATACACATTTTGGGTACTGTTACTTTTTCATTTGGTGGTATACAGAATACTTACTTTCCTAAAATCAAAGGAATACATTGCAGTACTTGATCACACAATTAATTAATCAACATAAAAGTATTCTAAGAATTCACAATATTTGTCTGATTGGACCATGTATCAGAATACATTACAAAACGTATTTTATTGCCGTTATTCAGTATTTTGCAACTAAATACATTTACAATACAAGTACACTCCCCAACACTGATTCAGGGGTTAGGGGTTAAGGTGTTAATTAAGTACTTGCTTCTTAATAAATAGGCTACTTTTCTAATAGGCTTTTAATACTTTTATAACTAAAATATCTTTATTTTTTTTGCAGTTGCTGGCTATCTCTTGAAGGCGGACTCCTTTACTCCTTTGTTGGCCCCGCAGCAGCTGTCGTCCTGGTATGTACACTATAAAGCCCAAAGCACTGTGGAATATATTTTTCTATATCTTATAAATGTGTTACCAGTTATTACCTCACCTAATCCTTATCACTTCTTCTTGCACACAGGTGAACATGGTCATTGGTATTCTGGTCTTCAACAAGCTGGTGTCCAAGGACGGCATCACCGATGTTAAGCTGAAGGAGAGAGCAGGGTAGGTCCTATTGATCTGCTTGGAAGTCTTATCACAACTATTACTCGTTTATTGATAATGCACTTTGAGTATCACATAGAAGAATCAGTTGTAATGAAAGTAGTTAATCATTCTGTATATTTTTTTCTTCTACAGGGCCTCTCTGTGGAGCTCTTGTGTAGTTCTGCCCCTTCTGGCTCTAACTTGGATGTCTGCAGTCCTCGCTATCACTGACCGCCGCTCTGCCCTGTTCCAAATATTATTTGCTGTTTTCGACTCCCTGGAGGGCTTTATCATTGTCATGGTGCACTGCATTCTCCGCCGTGAGGTAAGTAATAAGATAGATTAGGCAGAAAATGAGACAGGATAGTTTGTTTTTGCTATTTCTTTTATGGAGGTTACAAGGCCTGTGATTAAAAAGCTATCTCCGCTGTCTATTAGGTCCAAGAGGCTGTAAAGTGCAGAGTAGTGGACCGCAAGGACGATGGTAACGGAGACTCTGGCAGCTCCCATCACAACAGCCACTCACAGCATATGGTAAATTTCTTGGCTTTCTGCCTTTTTAATGTCTTGAGTGCTTTTTTGCATTTTTACCTCTAACATATAATATATGTACATGGTACGCTCGGGCTAATCAGAGTTCTTTTTCATTTTGTTATCAGCAGTCTGACAATGAAAAGGACGGCGATTCAAGCAGACAAGGTAAGACTACTCTCTCATTTGTCCTTAACCATTTTTCCATTTGCATTAACATAAGAGTCGTGCTTGAGAAATTGGATAGATTTGTCAAATTAAAGAACATTTCCTGTCTGACTTTGAAGGTATGAAGAGCTCATCCGAGGAGAAAATGGGCCCATCCCAGATGCCCCTGCCCATGGGGTCCAACTTCCACACCCTGCCCTCCAAGCCAAGCAAGAGCCACATGCAGGCTGTCCCAGAATACTCCAGTCACACCCTCACTCTCAAACGTGAAAAGGGGCTAGTGGCTGGGGGTGTGGACCCAACATGCGGCAAGCCAGTCTACGTGTGCGAAGGAGAGCTTTTCCAACAACTTGATGCTGATTTAGCTCGTGTCCAAGCGGAGGGGAGCATGTCTGATGGAAGTGGGTACATTCTTATGCCCAATACGACGTCAACTCTACGCAAACCAAAAGATGATCCAACCAAGTACAACATCGCCGTAGAGCAGATGCCCCAAGCTAGACTTATGCACCTGGGAGGGCCATTCGCAGAGCCACAAGCCGCTTTCGGGATCCAGGGTATTCCACCGGATCAAGTCAGCATGTCCTATTCGGAAAGGGACTCCCCAATTCAAAATATCCACAACATGTCCAGCGAATCGCACATCACCCACAGCAGCCTGGAGAACACTTTTGAATCTATGAACTCCATGATGTCCAAGAGTGAGACCATCTCCACGCTATCAATGAGCTCTCTGGAGGTAGCTATCATTTTAACCTGTTTAAATTTAATAAAGTTTGGTGGCGTTTTTACGAAATTAAACCTAAACGCAGTGTGCTTTCTTTATGCATTGCAGAGGCAGAAATCCCGTTATGCTGAGTTGGATTTCGAGGTAAATATTAGTTTGTCATTTCACTCGCAACTCTTAAATCTTTGGATTTTTTTCTAATTAGTCGCTACTGTTTTTGCAGAAAATAATGCACACCAAGAAGCGCCACCAGAACATGTTTCAGGACCTCAACAGGAAGCTACATCACGCTGAGAAAGACCGAGAGTCACCAGCTTCAGATAGCAAGGTAAATATCCATCAATGTCCAAAATTAGCATCCATTGTCCATTATTCATAAGAGGTTACAACTGGAACAAAAGCATACAAGAGGCAAATCTAGCAAGAAGATATTAGTAATGGGTTAAAATGGCCTGTAAACAACCATAATGCATTTTATTGTGTGGTTGTGGATACATGGAGGTCATTTGAATAAGGCTGTGTATTTTCTTCCTTCTTACAGTCTGTGAGATGGAGTGTCTCTTCTGGAGGAAGTGACAAAACCAACCACAGCGTGAGTGTTATATTACAACCTCACACATAAGAATACTGTTTATAGGCACATGGCAATGGGAGATATAGGAGCCTACTGCTATACGATTACAGTTTCTGTTGCCCAGTGTACAGTTTCATAATAATTTGGGTTTGAGTTGGTGCAACATTTTGAAGTGAACACTTTTCTGTAAAGCAAATATTTAACAGACTTAAACAATATTCAAACAATACAGCTTACTGTATGTGTCTGAAATCAGTACTTAAGTTCATAACAAAACAGAAATATGAATCATAAACAAATGCAGTTTAAATTCCCATAGAATTCCCACTCAATTTTAAACTATGGACAATTTTTTATATTTTATATTCAATAATAATTGCTTTTTGCTTATACAATTCACAAAAGACAGTAATAATAGTACAATAAAGTGGTCCATTATTTTCAGAGCTGTATAATATAGACCCAACACAAATGCCTCAAGCTAGAATAATTTTCCAAAAGCTTTCATGATCACACTATTACCACGGATATAATGAACCCATTTCATATTTGATTAAAAAACCTAGACTAGCTTTGATGAGAAACACCAGAAATACTCAAGTGCCTTTTGTCTCTCTCTTTAGGACAAACAGCAAGCTTCAATGGAGAGGCCATGGGAAGGAGTCCGTGGTATTCCCCAATCACCTCCCGCTTGGGTACGGAAAGACATGGAGCCTCTCGCCGCCTCGCCTCTGGAGCTGCACTCGGTCGAATGGGAAAAAACCAGCACCACTATCCCAATGGTCGGACAGGACATTATCGACCTACAAACCGAAGTCTGAGGGAACAACTGAGGAGTAATGCAAGCTTCCTCGTGTCACCTCGGCTACCTTTTACCATTTTGGGATCCTAGCTTAAGGATTCCAAAGGGTGGAAAGAAAAAGTAGGTCCCAGAATCTGTGTCTTCAAACCTCTCCACCTGAGCAGGATGGGGGTAAGGATGGAGAGAGGGATGGTGAATGCTGGCGACGTTTTTGTGCTGGGATGTTAAATGTAGCTTCACTGTTGTGGACTTGGAGCATCTCCTGTCAGAGTGCTGTCAGAGTGTGGAGATGAGTGGTGTCCATTGACCAGGACTGGGCTGTGGCGCCATCTCACTCTTCGCCCGGAGTTTCCCTGAACCCACCGTGGTCAGAAGATGTGGTCGACATATCTGTGCTTCTTTTTTCCTTCAACTCAGCTTTGGAAAAAAAATTACTTAAGAATATCAAAGTGGTGGTGCGTCCTTCCTGCTTCTTGAGGGGGGTGGCCACCACACAAACACTGGCTGCTTTTATCTCTCAGCCTCAGAGTTACCTTCCATTAAACTACAGGGCAAGAGAGCAAAAGGGACTACTTCTCATCAGCTTGGGAGGCCGACTGCATTTGGGACGAAGGGCACACGTTTAGTTTTTATTTAGTCTGTCCCGCTTCTCACCTGGACTGGTCTGAACAGAGACTCTCAGAGAGACTGTAGAGCCAAAACTCCATTGTTATTATTACAATGATTATTGTCAGTGTTAAAATTATATATTCTGATTACCTGTTGTGTAATCTTTTCTTTCATCCACCACTGTCCACCACAAATTTAAATTATTTTTCTAAGTGTGGAACTGTGTGATGTGTTGTGGGCCCATATGGACTGCATTGGGACAAACGACTGCGCGGTGATGGTTTGGCGAATGACCCGAATGTCCTGGTTTTGTTTTTGCTTTTACCAAAACACCAGCACCAGGATGAACACAGACTCTCACACAGGAAGAGCAGTGCACTCTGGGATATGCTGGCTGGATTGTTAGGTCTAGCCTTTGTTTAAGTGGCACAAGATGCAGGCTCTTCCATGTGGTACTTGAGGATTTGGGTCCGATTTGGACATCGCCCCTTTGTTTCTCAGCCTTGCAGGACTCTGGACTGAGACTTCTGCTGCAGCTTCCACAGCAGCAGGTCTTCTCGACTTCAACACATTTGTGTTTTAGCCATCAGTGTGAATAGTGCAATATGATGGGTGCTTGATGCTCAAGCAAGACCGATATTATAAGATATATTAGACAGTTTTTCTTACTAATGTTTCAAACTTTTATACCATCTTCCTCATATAGATGCTTTATGATAATATTGTATAACAAATCTGTTTTAGTAATTCAAAGAATTCATTCACTAGAGATTTGTTAGCACACGGCTCCATGTACGGAGCCTCTGTGACAGTAGATAACTGTTCTTCAATAACTCCATTTGAATGAATGAACTTAACTATGCTCCAGGATGAGTCAGACCTCATGTCTCTGTCCAGTGTTTTTTAAACCTGTCAGTAACTCAGTATGTAACCAGCCGACCCTCAGCCCATACCTCGAGTTACTTGTCTGAAGCCATTTGTATTTCCTGTCCCTTTGTTTTGTATGTTACCTCTGTAATGTACAGTTTTCACAGCACAAAGTGAATGTTGATTATTTCTAATAAAACAAAACTATATTAAATTAAACATTTCTCTTTGCTTATTATTTCATAAATGTTTGTACTGAGAGAGGTATAACTTAAGGGCGTACGGTTTGATGGAGTAAGACACTCTTAAAAATAAAACTAAATCAAAGCTAAATGTCAGAAAGGAGGAAAAATAGACAGAACACGGAGAAGTGGAGCTGTGATGTTTCTCATAACTCCTGCCATATTAACGCCTAAGGCGGCTCTGGCTCCCTAAATATAGACATGATTTGCAGGTACAAAAAGCAGCCTTCTCTTAAGATGATAAAAGTGCAATTGTGCTCTGTTCTATTTCCATTCCTCACCCTGATCATTACAGCGGGACCCGCTCTGAAGCTGAGTAATGAGCAAACAAACAGATCTGACAGAGCCAGCAATGACTGCGGCCTCTGTAAAAATAGGAAATGTTCTGCTTGAATGTAGTTGTACCTGCTTCATCCACACTTTTCAACACTTAATTCTGCTCCATAATCACGGCATGTGGCTGGTTTTTAATTGAACTCACAGTGATTTGGCTGTGAGGCAAAAGCTCCTCTATTCCTCATGTATTTGTGGAGATGTGCACATTTTGTCGGGTCATTTGTGGAGCATGTGTGCACTGAGAGAATGAGACATTGGGGGCCATTTTCTCTGCTTTATGTCTGACGCAAAAGGCGCAGCTCTCCCCCATCACTCCTCAGTTATAGGAGTCAAGAAACTGTGGCTGGTGGGCTTTGTAAAAATAGACATATCTTAGAATGCAATTGGACTATACGGGTGTTAATGGATAATAGATTGATCAGTTAAACTCATTAACAGTATGCTAATTTATTATTATGCTGTACAGTATCCTAGAGTAAAGGCCTATAACCATCTGAGAACCTGTGAACATACATTTAAGAGCCCACCTACAAATAAACAAGGAATTCACATTCACGGCAAGCTCCACAAAAATCAGTAAAGGGTCTACTGTATATTATACAAAATTGAACTTTCTGAGATTTAAGCCATATTCTAATGCTCTTACCTCCTCAAAAACATGGAGTCGTGTCTTGTTTCATTCACATAAGCAAGTTAGAGTAAACCTTTATTATTAGCCTGCCTATATCAAAATACTCTGTTGCACCTTATGATGTCATGACGAAGTAGTTTTCAATTCAACAGCTACCTTATCTTTTGTTCAGTTCAGTTCATCTTGGTAATTCCAGGTCTTAAATTATCCAAATTATTCTGGTGAAGGTGTATGGAGTTTAAAAACACAGTGGAGCACTTCCTGTGTTATTACCACAAGATATCACGAGTGTTTTCCGTATGAGAGAAGAATTCAGTCTAAACATGTGTGAATGAAACAAAAAACAACACCAGGTATGTTTGTGATGAAGAAACAACATTATAGGAGAGATCAGAAAACAGTGTAATATGGGTTCTTTAAAGAAAATGTTTCTCTAATTTGAATAAAGGTCCGAAGGTATTTTAAAAGACTACATCACCTCAGATATACTGTATTCTGTTTTCTTTCTCATTATAGATTAGTTTCTGCTATAGCTACTTTGGGCCTGAGGCGATTAAACAAAGATAAGACATTACAGATAATTAGTTAGTTAGTCACCGAAACACTTCCATTTTGAAAGTAAACACAATTAAAGCCTGGTTTGTGCTGCTACAAATTAGTTGGAGAGAGTAATTGGGCCTGATGTTGTTTTAACCAACCAAAACTGCAAATGTGTTATTGGGATGTTGTATCCTTAGACTTAGACAAACAAGGGAAATTATTTGGACACAGTAGCTCACACGTCACAAAATACTATTATAACTAAGAGCAACAAAATAAAATACAGTACTACTAATATAGTAATACAAATATATTTTGGCACAAGAGGTCAATCAGGAGAAACAATGCAAAGATGAAATAGTGATTGACATGACATAGGGTTATCTATTACATAAGATTGCTGTTGTCCAGTTGTATGGAACATAGTATAAATGCCTTCTAATGATCAATAAGTCATCCATCAAACAAGCACTTATTGGATGATAATGTAAATGTATTACAGGCCTATAGGCTAAATAAAGACAAATACTATATAGACCTGAAGAAAATATGATTCTTTTTGTTTGTTTGTTTGTTTGTTTGTTTGAATTAGTTTGAGCAAGGTAAAACAAAATCAACAACATTTAAAAAAAAACAAAAAACAAAACAAGAATATGTAGGTATGTATTTGGGACCTGGTGCTCAAAAGGAGTAGGATGAAGTTTAAAAAAACTTATAATGTCCTACCCGAATTGTTTTACATAATCAAATTTTTTTCACCTTTGGAGCCTTACCTTTCATATGCATTACATAAATAACGCATAAGATGATGCAACTGACACAATAACCCAAGAGTATCGGTAATGAGACATTAAAGTTAATAATTAAATTAAATGTTACCAAAAAAAATAAAAAAATAACCAAAAATGTCCCAATAAGAAGTACACACACATTCAAGGATAAGACAATGTTCATGGAAGACCTATATACAACAATCCTACAAGAAGTTGAGTATAAAGTAAATTTATAATTTGTGAGAGTAATGGAGATAGAGAAGAAAACATTTTAGATAAAGCAGATCTTTTCCAATTCCAGTTATTTCAAATGCCACTTGAACTTCGGTTTGACTTCCATTTACAAGGTCTATCCACACAATCAAGTCTGACGTACTAAAAATTTTAACAGACAAATGTTACTGGTTCACAAAGGAAATTACTTGGACACAGTAGTTCACATTACAATATAATAATTAAATGTGAGTTTGTTTGGTTTAAATACTGTTTCAATGTATGATGCATTCACAACTGCATTTAAACCCTGCATCAAAACTGTGACAAAACTAACCTGGACTTGGTATCCGTTTTTATTGCAATATGATGATTTGATGTAAAATGTCTGAAGAATGCACAAGAAAGCTCATTATGTTAAATTAGGGTCTGTCAGATTGCTGCTCTTCATGGCGATGTTATTGTTTTGTCTAGTATGTACGGTATTAAACCTTTCTACCTTCATGGAAACCAAGCTGGACCAAGTTACAGTCAGATCTGTGGAGAGGCAATCCCACTCACAGTCAGAATGTGTGTTTATCTAAGTATTTTGAGCTATAAAACCACCTGTAATTTAATAAATGTAAGGTAGAACTGTTTAATGTCATACTGTGGAGGCAGATCTATAACATCTCTCAGACCCTCCACCAGAAAAGTTACACAGTGCACCTTTAAACTGTATCCTCTTTTCCTTGGCGTCTCCGTGTAATTCCCCACCCCACCCTAAAATCTCAGTAACAAGTTATGATATATATCTGAGATTGTGACA